GACAGCCAGTGCAGGACGGTGAACACGCCTTCAAAGTCATCGCAGACGGTGCTGTGGGTCACCCCGTTGTTGTGCATGATCTGGATGCCCCCGAGCTGGTTGTTGGAGGTGTACACCTCCCTCCCGAGGACCTGCAGAAACAAGCGAGAGGAAAGACAGAGAGAAAAGGCAAAGTTTGTTCTGCAATTCTCACTCATTCTTTTCTCCACAAGACAGGGACTCTAGCCTCCGTGCGTTGTGCTAAGGGACTATCTGGACCTTTGTTCTAAAAAGAAAACTCAGAAGACAAAAAAGAGTTTTAAACAACCACACAGTCTGTTGCAATTTTAACCACCAGCAAGCCCCTCTCTCTGCTAGCTGCCACAGATACAGGCAGCATCTTGACTCTGAGCTGAAGCCACAGTGGTGGGTAAAGCTGGACCCTGAGACACAGGCCACGTCCTCTCCTGCAGGCCTGGCAGAGCTGTTGCACGTTTGCACAAAAGAGGTAACCTGCCTGTCTCCTGACAATCTCGAGGGACACCCAGTTAAAGAAACACTGTGAGGTTTGAGTTCTTCGTTTTGTCTTTTTTTTTTTCAAGGGTTACTTTTCCCCTTGACATTTGTTTTCTAAACGTGGTCCCCTCACAAGTTCAGCGCATGGCAGAATCCTGCAGCAACTCATGACATGCACAGGAAGCCCTGAGTCTAAAGTCCTCTTTGTGTGCTGGGTGCAGGGCAGTGATTTACACCCAAACCCATCTCTCTTACACGCTTCCCTGTGCTTCCCTCCTGTGCTTCGGGGGGAATTCAGGGCCTCCGAGCCCTGGTGTGTCCCTGGAGGAGTTTAACCCTTGTGAGGCTGAAGAGGACCTGCAATTGGAAACCATAAAGTTTCCTTTAAATAGAAGGAAAAAAAAAGACAAAATATTCTTCAACTTGGAAATTGCAGGATTTCTTTTTTCCCTTGAAGACTGGTTAATGATTTCTTTCAGGGAGGGAGGTTTTCTGACCCAGCAGATGGAAGCTGGGCGGCCTGATCGCTGACTACCGCAAACTGCTGAGTGTGTGGTAATTGCCAGTCATCTCTGGAAGCCCTGGAGAGCTCTCAACAGTTGTAGAGCGCTTACTGTATGCTACCTTTTCTTTTCCCCTTCCCCTCCTCCTTCAGAAAATCACCACAACACGAAACTTCTTCCTTACTTTTATTCATTTCCAGTCTCCAGGGAGAACCTAATAAATGAACATTCAACCTGTATATTCCCATCTCGCCCCTTCTTGTCAGGAGCTGAGAGAGGCTCCCCTGCGTGCTGGGTGAGCCTGACATGGAGACCCTCCCAAGGCTGAGGGGGGAGGTGACTAGAGCAGTGTGACCTGGTGGCCCTTGGTCCCTTTAACTTCAGCCAGGAGGGGTGGAGGAGACTCTTATGAAAGGAATACAGGAAGCAAGGAATATGCTCTCAGGTTACTGCTTTCCTTGCTGAAGACGCGCACAGAACAAGCCCTTGCAGGCAGCCCTGAGCGGAGCGACATGCCAGCAGCTCCCATGAAGGGGCCTCCGGGACGGGAGAGCCTGGGCCTGACCACTGGGCTCCCCTCCTCCTCTCGGTCTGTCTTTAATCTCGGCCTGGGACCTCGGCTCTTTTCTCATTCTCCTGCTGTCTCTTTCCATTTGCCCTCTCTCTGACTGATACACTGATCTCTCGGTCACTCGGCTTTCTGCTCCACTGAGTCCATATTACTAATAACACCTCCGCCACGGCCAGTTTACCTCATGAAGGCAGGAGCACATCATTACAAAATAAACTCATAACTTTGACATTCTAGCAAATACACGCCGTTTGTTATTTTTATGGCTTTAGTCTTTCTAACAGGCAGAGGGCATTACATACCTGTTTCATTTATATCTTTAAATGTGTGCACACATGCACACTCGCACATGCATCAGGAAACAAAACGACGGAAAACCAACCCCAGCCAAACATCCAAAGCAGTCAGCTGATGGGGGACCCTGGCGGAGGCAGAAACCCTGTCACTCAGGGAGGCCACGCTCTGATCGGGCTCCGGTTTTATGGGCGCCATAAACCCGATGGCCCACAACTGGTCCTTCTGGGACAGACTGCCTCTCTGCCAGAAGTCATTCAGTGTGATCAGCAGTATTTTTAATTATTAAAATAAAATTGGAAAAGGGGGAAAGAAATAAAAAGGAGACACTGTGCTGACCCTGAATATCCGATGCTCACAATCTGGGTCGGGAGCTGAGGATGCCTCGCAGCCCAGGAGAGGGAGCTGGGGATGTTTTCTACCCAGAAACACTGTTTTCTTTCCTGGGAAACACTGTTGCTAGTGCCTGATAATGTCTGGCCACTTAGAACCTCACACCTCTCCAAAATCAGTAACAGACGTAGGAAGGTCCAATCTCAGAAAAAGGGACGGAAGCCAACCGAGAGAGGCTTAGCTGTTCAAACACACCTCCTGCGACGTCTCTGCCCCTGAGACAGAAAGAGCACCTCCAAGCACTGGGCTCCTCCTGGAGGCTCTCACCTGCCCAGCCCACCCCCAGCTTCTTCAAACTAACCAGGGACAGGCTCAGAGGGAGCAGGAGTTTAATAACTTAGCGTGTCTTCCCTTCAAAAGTGGGAACACAGGTTCTGACGCGCTGGCATTGTTCTGAAAAGGCAGCAGTATTTCTACATGTCTTCTCCCCTGGGTTCAGAAAGAAAACCAGGGCTTACCGCAACCAAGAACGTTACTCCGGGCTAAAGAAATGTCTGTCATGTGAGAGGGTTCATTGAATTTGGGAATTAAAGAGAAAAATTTTAGGACAGCCTAACAGAGCATCCAAAGAGCTTTCCCTCATCAGCCTTATCATAGGATTGGGGGCGGGTGGAGAGGGGGAAGGACACATGAAAATGAAATCTGCTCCACTAACCACAAACACATGCTAACAATCACAGCCACTTAACAACCGGTGAAGGGAAAGCAGGAGCCTCCAGTTCATCTTGAGTGACCATGTTTGGAGCACGCACAAGCAGAATGAGGGCGCACACAATAGCTCCTGATTTATAGGGGTCGTTGCTGACTCAAGTGGTTTTAATGATTTTAGAATACTTCACAACAAAAGCTCCCACCGCAGAAGCAGAATCTGGGCGAGGACAAAAATCCCTTCTGCCTAACCCCGAGATGATCGTGCTGGAACCGTTACGCAAATCCTGCCAAGCGTCTAAGAAGGCAAAAAAAGAACCCACGTGGACGGAACCACTGTTTTACTCTTCAATCTGTTGCCCTACCAACCTTCTACAGAAAAAACCTGGGGTAAACCACCCTCACCAACATAATACTTTCGTCAAGTAGGTGAGCTTCATTTCATCATTTTTTTTTCCAACTTGGGCATATGCATTCTTGTGGAAGTCAAGTTGCTTGCTGTCTTCCCATTTCCGAAATTATTCTTCTCACGTTTTAGACTGCGTGGATACAAACCTTTACTTTATCTGCCCAACAAGCATCAATAACCATTTAAACGCAGGAGCCATTCAAACACAGGTGACCCTCCTGAGGCCCCACTTTGCTGTCCCTCCAGGTCTAAGTGGGGAGGCACTTAGGAACAGGCACCACCTCGGAGTCCCCTTCTGAAGAGTGCCCATGCTGCCGACAGAGCTGAATAAGGGCTGAGCCTGAAAGAGGGTCTTCACCCACTCTCAGTATAAACTTAAGCCTCATCCAGCACTCATTTATTGCCTCTGGCAGGCCTGGGAATTAGGAACACTGCATTAAGCCCGTGATGAGCAGCAGAACTCAATTGTTACAGGCTCCATGCAAGATGCTACACGGCCTTTAGAAATTTTGAGCTACACAGGAAGTGCAAATGAATGCAGTCCCACATACATGCTAAGGCCTCTGCTGCTGTTCCTGCTTATCTGGAGACACTGCCGACAGCTCGTGGTTTACCGTAGCTGACAGGCAATGAAAACAGTCTAATATACCGCCTGCTCTCGCCTTTAAATCCCTTTTTGGAGATCAAGATAAACACGTTCCTTCCTTCCCCAGTGCTCCAGACGTTTGACTGAAGTGGCAGGGCATTGTGAGGTTTTGTGCAAATGAAATCACTATGTAATGCTGAATGAGTATAGTATTTACTTGTCAGGATATTTGTCAGCACACAGGCATTGAGATTTCCAAGTTTCATAGATGCAACCTAGCTCAATTTTTTAAAAAATTGCTTTTGTCCTAATACACCCATTATGCTGGGGACCCTCAGACTTATAAGCAAGTATTTGTAATCATGTGCTTAAGATATGAAAAATAATGATGCATAGAATAATGATGGAATAAAAAGAAAAAAAGAAATCTGCTGTTTTCCTCCTTTATCAACCTTCCCCCCTTTAAACAATCTTTGGTGGGTCAGGGCAATCTTCTAGCTAAAGAAGAAGGGAGTACAAAAGTCTTCTTGCAACTAAGAACGAAGCTGCACAAGCTGAGTCCTTGCTGCCATCCTCCCTCCTTCTCATCAGGGTATTTCCATTCTCAAGAGGATCTGAGGAGTGGTTTGTAAATTTGCTCCGAGCAACTGTCATCTCTGGACTTCATTCCATGACTCTAGATATTAAAGTCACTCTGGGATCTGTCAGGTTATTGATAAAGGTTTGGCTAAGGCAGAAAGGGAGAAAGACATGAGAAAGAATAAGTCGGAACAGGGGAAAAAATGATAAAATAGGGACAAAAGAAAGGAGGAAGGATGAGACAGAGGAAAAGGGAGGGGAGAGAAGAGGAAGGGGAAGAAAAAAATGCAATAGCTCATCCACTCATGCTGCTAACACCCTCCTCCCTGACCTGAGAGGACTACATTTTTAAAAGCTGACAAGTAATTCAATCTCCAATTAACAATTTTAAGTGGTGCAGCACATATTACCGTGTAACTGTTTCTCCAGGAATATATCCAAGGGTGAATGGAATTAAATCTCTAGGGAGACAGGACCAGTGCCTTAAGCCTCATCCAGCACTCATGAGACCAAGAATATTTGGGGATTCCAAAACAGAGCCTCTTAATACACAGACTCAGGGTTACAAGTGCCTCTGCCCCCTTGGTCGCCACTATTGTTACAGGCTCACTGCACAGCTGGCTGGCAGCTGGCAGGCCTGGGCTGGGGGTAGA